ACCGGAAACAGAATATGACTTTCTAATAAATAAAACCGGAAGTATAGTTCGTATTCCGGAAAAAACTGACCCCTCGTTAGCGTCCGTACCGGTGACTATTGGAGGTGAAATTATTATTGTGATTCATTGAATAACATAAATATAATATCCGTTGAAAAAAATGTTTATTTAAAATAATTATTATGTTTTTTCTAGGATATTTCAGAGGCTTTTAAAATTAAAATAAGCATTTAATGTATTCTCGAGTCACTTTTCTTTGTGTGAGAACACGAGTTTTCTCCCTTAGTACGTATGTATAAATTATATAATTTGTCTGGGTATGTGGTTATGTTCTTGTTTGCCATGATATTAGTCTTGTGTGTATTGACAGTTAACGGTAGACTTGTTTTATATCTTTTATTACATACTTACTAATAAATACGTTTTTTTTTTTGTATGCGATACGACACAATTGCTCTAACCCATATCAGCCCTCGCCGTATCACACCCCAAAACCTGTATCAGACCCCGCCGTATCACACCCCAAAACCGATATCAGCCCGCAAAACCCATATCACACCCCATTTGGAAAAAAATAAATCGTTTTCCAATATTTCAAAAATGAAAATAAATCATAAGATAGTAGTTGTTATTAGTAAGTATGTAATACACAGAATAAAACACGCCTTTTTCCATATATATATCCTCGACCAATATCAGCCCGCTGGCCTTCGGCCCTTGGGCTGATATTGCAGTCTCGGGATGATACTGGGTGTGATATGGAAAAAAGGCATATATTATTCTCTATATATAGCTGACAGTTAAGAAAAGCCCTTATATAAGAAGATTGCGTGCTCACACTGGACCTTTTGCTGGTTACTCACTCAGGGGTGAATCCGTAAACTTTTATCTTACCTCAGAAATATGATTATGTAGATTTACAAGAGATTTGACTTGCTATTTAAATTCGTTTAATTGGTATGTTTTAGTCCGATCTAGCCCAATCACAATATATAAAATGTGATAGTTAAGTCTGGCCGTACAATATACACACAGCAGTATACAGTTATAGAGTTTAAGTGTTTTTATGTTCGACACTCTCCGTTAGGTGAGGAACTGGTTTAAATTTTGCATTTGAAGTACATGCCCCTCCCACCACCCTCACTCAGCACACCCCAGCCCCTTCCCCTTGCTTTTACAATTCCTCCCATTTTCACCGCTTTATCGAACAATAATAATCCCTGATTATTCGAATAATAAGTACCGTAATGGTTAACATTTTTTACCTATAGAAGCCAGTACGTAATACACGTTTTAAACCCTTTGGCTATATTGGTAGGATGTAATATAAATGGCATCCTCGATATCCAGGGGTTAAGTTCACTTTCGCTCTCTACATCCCTTGGAATATGACATTGTCCGGATCGTCTGTTTCGAATACTTGTTTATATGGAAAGGGGTACTTTTAGTTCTATGACTATTAATCTATATATTCAGTGACTTATTAACTCTTTTTTTCTACTCGCAACGTAACAAGCATGCTTTGTTGTCCAGAAAATATAGATGTGAAAACAGAAATATAAATCATAATAAATCTTATATAAACGTAACGTCAAATATTGACGCACAACCGGAAAAACACGGAGTTCCGCTACATCAGCGTTATTTCAAATATGACATTGATCAAATATATATGTCATGTATGCCATCTTGTTCAGAACAATTCCATGTTTTCCTCAATACTTCCTGTAAATATATAGAATTTGAGAGTATGTATAGTGAATAACTTCTGCTATAACGTCAAACTTATCTATTATTAACGAAATGACGTCAACATTATGCTACCCTATTGTGCGTCAACGCCTGACGTAACGTCATACAAACTATCTCAATTTGTAAAATATCACTCACATATAAATCATGTTTGTCATTTCGGTCCACCAAAGTCATTTCTGTATATAAAGGATAAAGATTGATTAAATCAACAGAAATATACATAGTTAATTTTAAACAGTCCTTGCATTCAACCGCATATCCACTTTAAAACTTGTGACTAGCTTACTTGCATTTATACCGCATAGGATACGGGTTTTTTTAACACTCTTTGCATTTTTTGGACGACTCGTCATTTTTCATGATTCAGTGTTTAACATATGAACGATATTTTGCAAACAATCGCTGTTCTGTTCTTTCAAATTCTTATGAGATGTATAATCTTTCTAAGTGTAGCTAGTCATTGTCCGTCTCTTGCATGCCTTGAGAAAGGAGATGGCTGCTCCGAAAATTCGCATTCGGTTTGTCCACAATGTCGACAAGATTTAGTGATCTAGGATAGTCCAGGGAATATTAAATTTAGACAGATTATGTGATAAGCCTTTTACCAAAAAATAAATAAAATACAAAAAATAATAGAATTGAAATATATGAAATAATCTTGAAACATTGAATATTCGTCCTCAAACCACACTTCTAAACATGCTGAGGTATATAAATCAATTTAAAAGGCACATTCGTTTCGGTTCTTTTAAAATATTTGAGCAAGTAGGTCCCTATGCGCCTTCGATACTCCAGAGGTTGCACCCTCTCGGAACCTCTAGAATATATGTCATAGAGAAATGACAGCGCGCGGCCAGCTATTTGATTGTTCTCATGTAAACAAATCCCCGACCAATTGCTAGGCTGAAACCTATCCATTGAATGTTACAGAGGAGTGACTTCAAACCAAATCAGTCACGTGACTGAGGTATTCATTGCTGTACATCAAAGTGTCAAACTAGTTTTGCTTATCTCATCCACAAGGTGGCACACATTGAGCCTTCGGTTTTGTATTCCAACAGTCAGATAACGTATTTTATTTATTATTATTTTATTAACCTCGAGTAAACGGACTCATGGGTATAATACATATATTACAAGATAAGTACAACGTATTATGCAATACAATACAGAATAACATATGGACATATGTTAAGAGGAGAAAATGTAAGTTAGCGTAACCATGGGAGTACCGCTAATTGTCCCTATATTCTTGATAGATTTCTAACTGCAAATCGGTTAGGTATGCGTTAATTGCTTTTTCTTCCTCAAACTATGTTTTAACAAGGGTTGTCAAAGCAGTCACATTTTGGTAACCGGTTAATCGAACAATTTTCCGATCAAGTAACCGGTTAATCGAACAATCTTCCGATCAATTAACCGGTTAATCGAACAATCTTCCGATCAAGTAACCGGTTAATCGAACAATCTTCCGATCAAGTAACCGGTTAATCGAACAATCTTCCGATCAAGTAACCGGTTAATTAGTCAATACGGTAATCAACAATAAACAACGACAAAGACATAATCTGTTTAACATATGTTCTTATTAAAACGTATTTACACCACAAACATGCATGTATATGTTAAAGGGACATCACGCGAAAAGGCGTTTTTGTTTTTAATGAATGTATGTATTTTATGCACTTCCACTTATGTTACCACGCTATCCCCATATTCATAGTCCGTTCCAAATGTCCAGTTTGACCACTTGAATTGTGCGGGAAAGCCCTGCTAAAAATAGAGCCGATAACGTCACCTGACTAGGCAGTAAACACAAGTGGTGCGAACGAGATGATACGGTTTCCAAAGGGTATGGCAAGCCAAGTTGTCATTTATTCATGGAGCAATGTTGATCCAGTACTTAACCAAATTATATAAGATACCTCATAAAGTATATAAGATATCTTATAAATTATATAAGATATCTTATATGTTTATAAGATATCTTATAAAAATATAAGATATCTTATAAACATATAAGATATCTTATTTTAAGTTTATGAGATATCTTATATCTTTTATGAGATATCTTATATACTTTATAAGATATCTTGTAAAAGATATAAGATATCTTATACAAGATATAAGATATCTCATAAACTTTTCTTTATAAGATATCTTATATCTTTTATGAGATATCTTATATAATATATAAGATATCTTATAAAGAAAATTAATTGAGATATCTTATAAAAGATATAAGATATCTTATATATTATATAAGATATCTTATAAAAGATATAAGATATCTTATAAAGAAAAGTTTATGAGATATCTTATATCTTTTATAAGATATCTTATATCTTTTACAAGATATCTTATAAAGTATATAAGATATCTTATAAAAGATATAAGATATCTCATAAACTTAAAATAAGATATCTTATATGTTTATAAGATATCT